AGCTTAACTCATATCTGACTCCAATTTTAGTATGAGGTAGTTTAGAATAATAATATAATTATCCTCGTTTTATCTGACTCCAGTTATAAAACATTGAGAAGGTTATTTTGTTTCCTTTCACATTATTTTAGATTATGATTGAATATTCTCTTCGGTTCATCATTTTATGTTATTCTCATTCATTGGGATCCCTATAACATCCTGAATCTTGTACCGGCCAAGTATACAATTTCTTAAGCACAAGCATGTCAGTCTTGGTCACTAAACAGTGGCGATTGACCGCTATCCTAAAACGGCAGAACCCTACTTACTCAAATTAGGATATTTTTTATGCGGTCCCCATAGGTCTGCTACCTCCTAAATCAAACAGAGCTATTTAGTCATATAATGATCATTACTATAGAATTAAGCAGACCAGTCGTACTTAAACTATTAGTAACTTTGAATAATCACTATACTATCTAAATAGTATTATAAGTTTAACAGGTGAAGGACTATCCCCTTAGATATCCTTTTACAGTCTAAGTATACATAAATTGATGCCAATGTGTTAGTCGGAGCTCTAGAGACATCGCATAGCGTGCCGCAATGCTCCGCTTTGTTCTAGTCTGCTACTAACCTGTACAGGGGCTTGTGGTGTTATGAAATTACCACAATCTACTAGAGATAATAACATGTACTCTGTTTGAATAATTCAAAACATAACAATTTATTAGTCAGGTAAATATGTATTATGCCAATTCATTCAGTCAATTCATAAACGATCAATACAAGACATCAAGTTATCAAAGATAAATTCAAGATTAAATGATGCATTCCTGACTTCAAAATATACATAACATGGAGCGTATGCTCCATGTTACGGGCTGATCTGGGTAAGCAGAATCGCGCTGAGCCTTTCTCAAACCTTACCTTAAGTAATCCAAGAATTCCCTTAAGGAATGTGTGTGCATAACAAAAGGCATTTGCATTTAGTGCTGCATGTGGAAAAGTCACACCCTTCACAGTGGTTCAAAAGATGCTATATCTTATATATTTATTGTTTTGATTATGTCTACATCTGAGAGAATGAGACCATTGTACCAGTCGCACTGAGACATTTCAAATGATATCAAACATGATAGTTAAAGTCAGTTTGGTTAATCTAGAACATTCAAACATTGAAATGACCATATGTGTGAGTTGGGGTGGTTGAAGCCGAGTTTCAGCAGACTCAGATGCAAATGCAGCAGGAGCTGGTTTTTCCCGCTTTCCCACCTGCTGAGTTGTGAAGTCAACAGTCTCTGTTTTCAGCTCATGTTTGAATTGTCAAAGACATCAAAAATATTTGTAATATTTCAATTCTTACAATGCTATCATGTCAATATGATTTTCAGTTCCTTGTTGATTCTGTGCCACTAACAATTAAGGCAGTTCTGAAAGCAAAAAGGGGTGCAACCCGGTACTAGTAAGTTGTACCTAATAAAGTGAACATTGAGTGTATGTCTAGCTGTATATGTCGGCCAATTGGTCCATGTATATATATATATATATATATATATATATATATATATATATATATATATATATATATATATATATATATATATATAATTTAAGATCTAAAAAAATGATAACTTTATACTGAGATATTGTACATAACTTTAGATTCATTGGCCTAAAGCTATAACTTGCTATTTATAAGATCTAAATGTTCAATCAATTAATCACTTTTTTTTTTTTTTGGCTTGGTCCCTTTTTTAATCTGGGGTCGCCACAGCAGAATGAACCGCCAACTTTCCCATCAATGGGAAACATCCATACACACTCAATCACACACACATACAATTTTTATCTTACCTAATTCACCTAAACCACATCTTTGGACTTGTGGGGGAAACGAGCACCCTGAGGAAAGACATGTCGACACAAGGAGAACATGCAAACTCCACACAAAAACACAAACTGACCTAGCCTAGGCTCGAACCAGCAACCTTCTTGCTGTGAGGCAATTGTGCTACCTGTGCCACCGTGCAGCCCAGATCTGAATGTTAATATTCTTATTTATTTTGTACAGTAGCATATAAAATACATACAAATGAATATTTTACCGAACACATCTAATTGGGAAAGAAATCAAATTTCAATAACATTATTAATAACAATACCTGTAATAATAATAATAACCATCACTATAATGTTGTGATTAGTAATATTTAATATGCTGTTAAAATAATGAATACTAAAACTCTATATTATAATAAATAATAAATCTAGATTACACATTACACTATAACATCATTTATAACTTTATTTATTTACAGTGGTTTCACACTGAGGTTACAACCATTATAACCCCCCCCCTACCCCCCCCCCCCCAATTGTGCTTTTTCTAACATCCAAAAGCTATTTCCTTCCAAGTATCAAAAATCTCTTCTTGTATTCCACCTAAAGGCTTTTGGAAAGGCATGAGGGTGAGTAAATGATGACAGAATTTCCATTTCTTGTCTGCGATATCTCCTAAAATCACAACGATTTGTGCTGAGAGCCTCTCTATCGCATTGGCTCACGAAAATGTCAAAAAAGTATTAAAATGTGATTTTTAATCCAGATATGGTGTACCTTTACAGGCTCTGCCATAATCCAGCAAAGCTACAGGACATGATGAAATCCTGCCATCGCCTTGAGCCACGAAGCGCCTTCTTCTCCCCCAGATCTGCTTCTGTCTCTCTCTCTCTCTCTGGAATGGAGATGATTTCACGTGACATCTGTGCTCTTCTCTCTGCCTGTACCTCCAGATCCATCCTATCTGAGCAGAGGGTGACTTTGAGCCTTGGCAGTGTGACAACCCTAGTGCTGAGCTCCTGCGCAGGCAATCAAAAACCAGGCATCATATAGAGGGAGGGGAAAAAAGAAAGAGGAAAAATAAAAAACAGCTACAACTCAAGGTCAGCATCTGCAGAGTGTGTCGCTGAGATTGGCACTGGGCGGCGAGGTCAGGGTGCGGACATGAGACAGCTTGAGAAGAGCCTTGAGAGATATTCTTTCTGTAGGCTGCCTCTGTCCAAGTTCAGCAGGATAAAAGCACAATGCCGAAGTGTGGCAGGGCTGGAGAATCAGATGCCAGGGATAATAAGGAGATGGGAAAGCGGGAGCCTCGACTGGAGATCTTCAACTGGTTCTGAAGCGAAAGCAAACCTGTAAAAGCTTCTAGGGTGTTTTAGCATCTGTGGTAAGTGCATTCAGAAATGAAATTAGCTTACTGGAGGATCTGTATGAGTGGATTCACTACAAGCAAATGAGATCTAGAGCTGCATGGTTATTCGTTGAAAGGTCACAATGTGTTTATTGGGCCAATGCAGACTTTTTTTTTAACTGTCTGCACACATGACCAAACACACATGCTTTTCTTGGCCCATTGAAATTTTTACATTTACTGTATGGCTATTAGTCTGCTTTATATTTTAATATTTTCTACTAGGATTATTTTTTCCGTCCTTTAAACTTACAATTTATTACAGAAACACTGTGCTAATATTTTATAGCTTGGATGTAAACATTGATGTTTATGGTAATCAATTAACCTGTACCACATGAATTTCTCTCACGAGTGCCATTCGTGCCTGTAGTTCTGGCATAAATACATCAGAGGCTGCTGTCGACTGACTGACCAATCCGAGTGTAAGTCTGTGGACTGCAAGACAGGGGGGTAACTTGTAGTAAGTTAGAGAGGTGTAACTTGCATTTATCGCGATCCCATGCCAAACGTCACAACAAGAGGAAAAAATTGATGTCACAACAAAAATTGAAAGCCTGTCCTTATCTATTTACCGTTTAACATGTTTAAGTTTCTTCTGTTGAACACAAAGATTTTAGGAACAACCAGTAGCCATCTACTTTCAAGTCAACTTGAATTTTTTTTTTTCCAACATAGGCTCATTCTGAAAACGTATTGTGACAAAACAGTGAACGTAGTTTGTTCATTGTCTCATCGTGTACGTCAGAGGATTTGAGAAGCAGAGTGGAGTTGACAGTGATGAAGGGGCTCGAGTCGGTCGAAGAACAGTTGCAAAAAGCAGGTGGGACAAAACAAAATTTGCGGATTCGCAAAAGGAAAAACATAGCTCCTGGGATGTATATATATATATATATATATATATATATATATATATATTTATACACACACACACATTATCAGAATGAGCCTGGGTTGTATTTTCCTACGTACTATGACTATAAGTGACTGATTTCTAACAGTTTTCAAAATATCTTCTTTTGTGTTTAACAGAATCAAAAGTAAGTCATACAACCACTTGAAGGTCAGTGCATTTTCATTTTTTGTGCGCAGTTTCTTTAAATCCAAACAGATTTGTTTAGAACATATGCGCCACCATATTGAAGGCATTATGAAAAGATATTTTTAGGACCATCTGATGTAAGATATTCTTTGAACATTCAAGAAAAAATAACTGTATGGAAGATGGAGAATCTTCAACATTAACGTCACAAGCATCCTGTAAGATAAACGTAGCACATTTTCCTGATGAGATTCTGTCAGTTGTCAAATGGATTCAGTTCCTTGTGCTGTGCAAATCCCTGACGATAGCAAAATAGTTCTTTTCATTCACACTTCTGAAAGTTTGACTTCACCTTCAATGGACGAATAAGATTTTCAAGGCATGCGACACAGGAAATAACACCACAATACCAGCCGTTACTTTGAACATTAATATCTTTTCTTTTTTATTAAGACAAGAACTCTCCATTTTTTTTTGTAAAAATGTCTAATATGAACAAATACAAAATGTGTATGGGAATGTGGATATTTTTTTCTTCATTAATACACAGTAACATTGCCCAAGTACAGCAGAAAGACAAAAAAAAGAACCAACCTAAAAACAATGAATGATAAAAGTTCTCAAACAATCTGGAACCAGAACGAGAAACATGTCAACTTTGAATTCAGATTAGTACATTTTCCCCAACACTCTCTCATGGTATCTTGTAACTATTTTACTTTGTGTGTGTGTGTGTGTGTGTTTGTGTTAAACTGTATAATATAATTCATACGTGTTTGTATAATCTGCTTGTGCCCCTATGAGGGTTAATTTTAGGGGTGAACCTTCATGCTTCATTCAATTTCAAAACTCATAAAATAATTACGTTTCTCATGAGATTGAGTTGGTTTGTCCTTTCCTGTCCTCTCTGTGTGAAGTTGGACTTAAAAAAAGATAATACTTAACATTGTGTACCCTATGTACACATTTTACAGTGCACCAAATAAACAACAACAACAAAAACAAATACATAAAACATGTAGTTCAAATATAAAATTCACCATTTGATTTGAGATCCAGCTTGATCCTATTAGTAATTATTGTCTGATTTCTTAATCATGGGCTTTAACTTTGCATTCTTCCTGAGATGCAAATATACCGTTAATCGTACGTGAACCTGAGACAGGGCTTAAAACGAAACCGTCAAGATCAAATAAACGTTTCAATCAGTAACACTGTTGCACTATCAAACAAGGGGCATTACAAAAGTAATGAAAACAACAAACACAATGACCCGGTTCACATCTCAAAACAAGTAGTCGTATTTGGACACGTTCAACTTGACCTTTTTCGACTTGCTGTACAAGAGACAGACGACAAAAAGAGATCTGCGTCTTCCCATCCAAGTCCTCGAACGCCTAGTAGAGTGGATTAAACCACAGTAATCACATTTAAAACAGGTCTAACATAACAAGTTGAACAAAATGTACATCGGCCCAGTCTAAGTACCACAAAATTAGTATACTGATGTCATGTCTCTCACATACGCGAAAAGAGAAGGGATGTCTGAAATCCTGTTCAGAAGCTGCCAGACCAAAGCTAAATGATGCTCACTAGTTAAGCACAAGCCACACAACTGTATATCTCAACTGCAACGGTAACCATCAAGCTGCAAGACATTCCCTCGGATTTGTATTCTACATAAAAACAAACGTGTCCAAAGTGTTTCCCATGGTTAATGCACATACGCTAAAAGTGGATGCTCGTGTTGTTTCTTCTTTATAAATAAGAAAATAAAGCGAACAAGAGTGTGTTTTCCCCCTCAACCTCGCCGTTTTTACGTACACACTGAGGCTGATTTCAGCAGGGCTAAACTATGGCGTCTAAATTCACTTACACTACAGAGAGAGTCATGAGGAAATGAGAAGAAATACTTCTCTTTAGGAAAAGTACTGTAGACATCTTTAGCCACCTTACGTTACGTACCCTTGACGGGTGCTACGATTGTAGCTAGGCGAAATGTGTTCACAGGAGCGGAGAAAGCATGAGCGTGTTGTTTTTTTTGGTTAGCGTCATGTGTTGACAGCGATTGTAAATATAGGGGAAAATCCACATATGAGGCTAATTACATCAGTTGCCTAAAATATTTGGAATGTTATTAAAAGCTTTTCTGTCTTTTTTATTTATTTTACTGTCCTGGTAATAAAAAACTGCTTGTTTCACTCTCCATTCAAACGAACCTCATTTCAAGCCCAGCAATATTATGCGAAAGCAGGAACCCGGAGGAGCAACTCACAGCAATTATAAACAATAAAACACACATTGTTTACACTTTAAGAGAAAATTATTTCACTGTGATGCTTTTTTTTTTCCCCGCACCAGAGTCTGGGATATTTGGCCAGTCTATATTCAAATACTAATATCACTAGGATAAGCTAGCTGCGATTGCCACCGTTTCCTCTGAGGAAGAACAAACAGGCAATTAACTTGACAGGCAATCATATACCATTACACACTTGTTGGACTGCTTAACATCGATGTCACATCCTCACTGACTCGCCTACAAACGAGACACAAATGCAGATGTTTTTTTTTTCTTTCTTTTTTTGGCTGTTGAAATGTGTTTTAAGGTAGTAAAGTTATAGAAATCAAATCATTTCCACATCTTCCCTCTCTGTACAAACATGATGGTTGCTGCGCTTACCCCCTAACATAACCGACGCATAAAGCAAAAGAAATTTGACACAATTTTAGGTAGTTATTTACGTGTGCTAGAGGGTCACCTTCACCAGCCCTGTGTGGAAAACTACAGCATAAAACAAGAACAGAAAATGTAAGCCACAGCATTTAGACCTTTTTCAGTGATGGCGACTCTCATTTCGATATTATGGCATGTGCGAAAACGTTTCTGGATGAAAATGCTAACAAAACCAAAGACAACGTTATACTGAAATAATAAATACCTGCAAAGGCTTCCCTTACAGAAAAACCCAGCTTTACATATGCCATTACATAGTTAAATCAAATGTGAAATTTGAGGAACTCGTATGAAACACATCTGAGTATGTGTTCACAAATGGGTTTCACCTGAAAATATTCCAAAAATCACCAATTTCACATGATGCTAGCATGTGATCGGACATGTAATGCTCAAGTGGTTATTCTGCAAGGGATTCAGCGATAAGCCTCCATAAGTGCAGAGTAGCAGGAATCATCTGCACCAATGCTCTGTAGTGATGCTTCAAATGTACTGGCACATACTGTACAACTGGAAAAAAAATAGGTAAAGTAATTTCTACTGCAATGCTTGTCAGAATGAAACAGGTGCAACTTTCAGGATCAATTCTCATCAAACTGTTAAGGGAACAGGAAGGAAGGAAACTGCTTGTACTTCCCTTGATGCTGCTGAAGACCTGGGATTGAATGAATCATGTGACTTGGCCTGCTCTTAGTACAGAAGATGGAGATGCCCACAGTGTAGGGGAATGTATTGAGGTGTGCGTTCATGTACCTTCATAGGAAAGCCAAAAGATGTCTCATCAGAGATGAAGGTGTATGTGTGTTTTCGGGGAGGGGGGGTTTAGGGTCGCGTTGTAAATGATAGATGGCGTGTAAAGCATGACTAAGAAAAAAAAATTCAGAACAAGGCACAGAATTTTCTGCAAATGGTTTAAGAAACTAACGAAAAATACCAGCAGTTGGGGAGGTTGCTGTGTGGTGACACTTTCTACACTTATAACTGGCAACGTCTGGTATCCCGCCCCCCCCCAAAGCCCACCCCTGACCCCGCTGTATAACACAAATACCTACATCTTCTCAGCTGCCCGTGTAGCATTCTACGTCATTCAATCCCCAGGAAAGAAACTAAACCAACTGACAAATAAACCAAAACAAAAGAAAAATAAAGATCTCAGTTCCCCCATGCCCCACCCCCTCCCGCCAAAACCAAAACAAAAGCAAATATTAAGAACAACAGAGGCCTCAGGACTCAGATATAGTATTCTTTCTTCTCGTCCGAGTTGTTGTGGCCCCCTTCGGCGTTGATGATGGCCGTGTCGGCATCCGCCGCGTCGTCTGCCCCCTTGGCTTCGTGTGTGAAGTAGGTGCCTGTGTGGGATTCAGAGAAAATGTGTGTTGATAAAAGCAATATCTCCAGCACCTCGGGGCCTCTGATTGATGCAATTGCAAGGTTTTAAAAGAGATTAAAGAGCATCTGGAGCAGCTTCTCTAATTTAGAGTGAGGGTCGATTGCAGGGACTTTACCTGCCAACAAATAAGGCATTAATTTCACCGTGCTGCACTCGGTTGCGTTATACTGTCTTTCATGTGTCAGAACTACAGGTAAGACGTCCCCATGATGGAGACACTTTGATTACAGCGAGGCGAGGCAGATGAAACCTGACCCTCCAGATCGAGCGCTATTAGATAAAACAAACAAGAAAAGCAGCGAAAATCGAGCCTGACACGCACTTGCTAGAATAAACCTGTTATTTGTGTCTAATAATTCAGGAAATTTCCATAAAATCCTCTCCAGATTTGGGTTTAGTTTGACTTTGTGCTTTAGAATTAACCTTGGAAAGTGTTGCAAGGTGGTGGGAATAAGCGATCCACTTCAAACTTCATTTCCGAATGGGATTATTCCCATCCTTGCAGTCTGTGGCGTGATAATGAAGGCAGTAGCCCTGATGAAAAGCGGAGATGCTGTGCCCACTTTATATTACAGAAAACAACAGCACGGTACACTCAGAGGGATAGCGGCCTTAATGCGGTCGTAGCCACGGGCCAATTTAAAGCACCCGCAGAGCTTCGACGCCAGGATGGCTTCTTCGCCAATCCAGAATCTTATCCAAAATAATTAGAAAGTCTATTGACCTTGACAACACGTTGAAAGGAAGTCTGGGGGCTGGGGTGGGGGTCTGAATTACCTTTGTGTCTTGCAAAGTATCGGCCCAAAACGATGAGAAGACACAACATGGCGAAGACCACGACGGCCACCACACCTCCGATAAGGGCATGGTCCATTGATCTCTGTGTTTCTGCTCCTGCTTGGGAATCTGAGAAAAAAAGAGAGTCAAGAGATGCTGTGTTACTGATTGACAACAAACTTAAAAAAGAGATTGTTCACTCAAAAATCCAAATGCACTCTTCACTTGTTTAAACAATTGTAAGTTTCTTTTTCATAAACAAAAAAGACGATAAGAAGAACAGAAAAAAGAAGAAATTTAGAAAATATCTTTCCATTGATCTTTCCATAGTACTACTCATACATTGTAAAATCCAATAAGTTCAGGTAACTCAAACCATTCGAGGAAACCGATTGCAACAATGAGTACTGTGAACTTAATCCATTTGAGTAAACAACGTAAGTTGACCACAGTAAAACCCAATAAATGAAGAGAACTCAAACCAACTGAGTACTGTAAAACCCAATATTCATTCATTCATTCATTCATTCATTCATTCATTCATTTTCTTTATTAATCCGGGGTTGCCACAGTGGAATGAACCGCCAACTTATCCAGCACATGTTTTACGCAGCAGATGCCCCTCCAGCTACAACCCATCTCTGGGAAACCCATCCACACTCATTCACACACATACACTATGGGCAATTTAGCCACGCGAACACATGGAGAACATGCAAACTCCACACAGAAACGCCAACTGACTCAGCCAAGGCTCGAACCAGCGACCTTCTTGCTGTGAGGCGACAGCACTACATACTGCATTGCCTACTAAAAACTAATAAGTTAAGGCAACTCAAACCATTTGAGGAAACCGATTGCTACAAACCATTTAAGTTAAAAACTAATCTATACTAGTACTGTCTACTTACTCCATTTAATTTGAAGTAATGAGGTATTCAATAAACTGTTTACCTTCAACACTGAGTTCAAAACTCTTTTCAAATGAGTAGAATTAACTTTAAGTAAATTTTGAGTTAACTCCACTCATTTCATTTGCTAAAGTTGACTGGTGGGTTTTACAGTATAGGAAATCAATGGGAATTTTTTTTTATATTTTGCCCATTTTTCTACTTAGAAAATATCACCCCATTGATTTCCATAGTACTACTCATAGGAAATCAATGTAAAGATATTTTTCTAAATATCTTCATATGTTTTCAACAGAAAAAGAAACTCAGTGTGTCAATGGTTGCAATCAATCATCATTTTTCTACATACCACCAAATAAATAAATATTTTTTAAAAACAAGTGAAGGGTAAGTAAATGATTAAAGGGCAATGAATTATTAAAGGGTGTTATACATATAATTCACATGACTAGTAACATAATTTGCACATTAGCAATGCATAGCCATTTTAATTAGCTTTAATAAGAAACTGAAAGTATTGCTAAGAACTATTTAAACAGAAACAGAAAAAAACTGAATTTAGTAAACATTGAATTAGTTTGGTATGAACATATAAAGGCTCATAGACAGCGGGACGCTTTCCGCTCATGTTTATCGTCAGCGTTTTTTGAGATGTTTTTCAGCATTCAAACTTTCATCAGCGTTGAGCAGAGTGTAAGTGCAAAATTACCCCCTGACATTAGATGGCACTTAGTGAACTTGCAAGTCATAAAAAGAAATGTGAAATAAAACTAACTATCAAATCCTATTTGCTACTCTCTTCTAGTTGCTGTTGCGTTATAATACAGCTCTTTCTGTTCAGACACCAACGAAAAAAGCAGCTCTTTTGTTTAGTGACAAAGTGTTAAACGTTGATGAAAAACAGGAACAAAAAGCGTACCGGTGTGATTGGGCCTTAATACATATGAATCATAATGTGTGCATCACAATTTGAATACTGGCACACTGCTTTTTCTTCACACTTAAAATGTGAAATGTGAATTGGGCGTTTTGTGCATTTGACGTGCTTTAAACTGCAAAAGAAAGTGGGAAACCTCTAACAAACAGAGCAATGGAAGAGACAGAAAGCTAACAATGATGGAGGTTAATTCAAAGATGATGGCAGCTGGATGTGACCGAATTAAAGGACATTATTTGTGCTTTACATGTATGGCGGGTATTATGATGTGCGTAAAATCGATAAATGTTTTTTTTCGTTTAACTCTTTTTCCAAGAGTTAAGGTGAGAAAAAGCTTCCCTGACATTGATAAGTTTTACGGCTTCCTGTTTTTTGGTGTACTATAGGGGAATCCCTGATGCATGTCCCAAGTGAGGCACATGATGTCAGATGCTCCTGGTAGTGAAATTTGAATCTAACATAGTCGGCTACCTAATATGGTAAATAAATAATTTACATATACAATTTTTATATTTATATATACGTCTTTAAATCACAAAATTGTCCACACATTTCTGGAAATTACCACCACAAAAGTAGCACTTTTTAATCACAAAAAAATGACAAAAGACATCGTGAAAAATTAGGGGGTCTGTATATATTTTTAAAGTATTATGCACCTATTTACCACTTATTTCATGCACTTGCAAATTTAATTACTAAATAAAATAAAATGATATTTTATTAAGCTTATAAGGCATTCAAATGGCAATGTTGAATTCCAAAATAATCTTTAAAACTTCACACACTAGACAATGAACTGAGTACATGGTCTATTAATTCATGGTTTATAAGTATGTTAATATGTTATACAACTATAGTTAAACATACAATAGGTATGCAAGCCGATAAAAATATTTTGTAACATTTACAATATTTTGAATGCAGCCTGCAAGAGAAATTCGAGCATCTTTGAAATCGACCTCTTCAGAATAAGACCTCTAAACTACAGACAGGCACCAACAAACAGAAGTGATGCAAATAGCAAGCGTGGGACTGAAAATGGTTAAACATTTACGAGTGTGACAGTGGAGCTCTGACGACGAGGGCCTTGTTGTTTATATTCTTTTGACAACTACAGTCCTGACTATAACTCAAACGAATCTGGCACAAACTGTGAGCTGTCTGAAGCCCGAGCTGAAGAAATACACTTTGCCCTCAAGACTAAAAGTGCGAATCACAAGCAATTTTTAACAAAGATTTATTCCATTTCACCCACAGAACAAGGCAGGCCTCTGAGGCTGCGCGGCGTAATGATATGTGAAGTTTATTGATCAAGTGTAGGGATCCATGACAACCCAAAGTTAATGCTGGTTTGTGGACTTGATTGGTTCTTTACAGAGCAAAGGAGGAGCAAAATTTTTCATCAATATCTCACACTCGGCTCGGAAATTAAAGAGTTTGAAGAGAAGTGCTGCGAGAAAATAGACAGGAGACATGGCTCTCGAGCTAGCCAATGAAAGACACCAACGATCTCCATGCCATTAATAACCAACATCACGGATTTCTGACATGCTTTTCTGCACATCCAAGGTTGTTTCTTCAACTATGGCCACATTTGTGCATTGTGAGCATTTAGAAATGGTATTTTTTTGGCCCCACAATATTTAATATTTATTTTATATATGCAATAGTTGATCGTGTTAAACAGAAATCTTTTGTGGAAGTGACATCAAGTACTATTGAACAAATCCAGTATATGACTATCTAGCATTTATGCACACCACATAGATGTAGTTAAATGATATTATCATGTATTCTGCATAAGGGAAGTTGAAATTTGCATTTTAATAAATAATTAATTAAGGGCGGCACGATGGCTCAGTGGTTAGCATTGTTGCCTCACAGCAAGAAGGCCGCTGGTTCGAGTCCCAGCTGGGTCAGTTGGCATTTCTATGTGGAGTTTGCATGTTCTCCCTGTGATAGCATGGGTTACCTCCAGCTGCTCTGGTTTTCCCCATAGTCCAAAGACATGCGCTATAGGTGAATTGGATGAACTAAATCAGGGATTATTATTCGGTGGGTCTCAGGGATCCTGCAGGTGGGCCGTGAGATGAACATTAACTCTCAATATTATACTATAAATTTTGGATCATGCTATATTAAAATTATCTTGTTCTCTGATTAATAACTTCAAACTTGGTGCAAAAACAGCCTCATGATCGCGTCAGCAACTAGTACATGTAAGTCTGTTCATTCACAATCTGTGTAAAGTAAAAGTGAAAGTCTCTCTTTGTGTATTTTTGTATTACTATTTAATATATCTGCATAGTTGTCTAAATGAATGTCCTGTGAGCGTTTTATAACAAATGCGCTCCCATCAGTGTTGCGACTTTGTCACTAGACTTAGTGACTTTTCAAACCCCCCAGCGATAAGTTTTCGAAAAAGTGATTAGCAACAAATCTAGCCACTCTTTTTGAGATTTTTATAGAGTGTCAATTGTCCATACTGTAAAGTCCCTACTCTTCTCAACAAGCTACGGGTAACACCGGCCCCTCCCCAGCCTTAGAGCACTGACAGGTGGCCCAGTCAGTCCTCATACAGCAGCCTCTCCCATCAGCAGATCACTCCTCTGCGTACCGACAGCAAATGTTCTAGCACTGGCAGTGTGAAGGTATTTCCCTTGTACAGTCAAACCGATCTGCTTCTCCTTTATTTTAACAATTTGATTTGACCGTTTACTCTTTTCTTGTTCACAATCACAGATATTTTAGTGACAATTTCAGAACTTCAATTTTCAGAACAGAGTTTATTACATCTGAGAGATTACTGCAAATTCACAACACATCTATAATGATATACTGTATTTAAACAGCAATAAATTTAGTTACATTGGCGTGCTTACATAAAGCGTAGTGCAAATATAAATACCCCTTAATTAATCATAGGCTATTAAACAAACAGAAATGGTAAAAAATGATGACGCCAGTAATATGCGAATTAACATATGACGTAATCTAGCCACTTTTAGCAACTTTTTGGGCAGAGCTTGGTGCCTTTTCATTGAAAATAGTTGGCTCCCATACAAGAGGACCTAGTGAGGCTCAATGGTGTTTCTGCCATAGAATGAAAAATAAACTTGCATATGAACTAAATTACCTGTAGTGTATGAATGTGTGTTTCAATGAGTGTGTATAGGGTTTTCCAAGTAGTAGGTTGCAGCTGGAAGGGCCTGCACTTTGTAAAACATATGCTGGAATAGTTGGCAGTTCATTCCACTGTGGAGCTATTTGAAATAGAG